AGTGGCACAGCGCCTGCCTGCCAAGCGCAAGGTCGTGAGTTCAATTCCTGGTACCGGGGGGGGGGGGGGGGGACATCAGATCTAAAGCCATACTTCAGCTAGAAATTCAGATTTTGCATTGCTTACCTGATCCAGAGCAAACCTTTTCAGTATGTTACTTTCTTGAAAAGTTTCTTTAGGAAATAGCAATGCACTTAAAATTTAACTAAAGGTAATTCTTACACTGAAAAATCTCTTGACAGATATCATGCCTTAAATTTTAAGTAGGATAAACTAAAACAGCAAAAAAACAAAAACACCAAAAAAAAAACCACTTCAGTATATTTATGGTTATAAAGTAACCTCAGACTTCACTGCATAGTTTCTTCAGAAAATAAGAGCACCAAGGTTTGCTTTTAATGGAGACAAGTTTTATCTTTTTAAGTGTGGTTGAAAATGTTTCAAATTAGGAGGATAGCTGGGCATGATGGCACATGCCTGTAATCTCAGCACTTGGAAGGCTGAGGCAGGAGGATTACTGCGAGTTCATACAATTACTAAGGACTAAAATAAATGAAGTTAACTTACCACAAGGCACAAAGCAAATATATAATAAACAGGTTTTGTATTTCAATTTTTTTTCCTCAGACAATTCTTAAGTGACAAATGTAGACATATGAAAAAAACTGGCAAGTACTCTTACAGTCCTGGAGAAAACAAAAGGGAAGCCCAGAAATATAATGGTCTTCATAGATCATTAAAGTTATGTATAACCTAGCTTTAAAATTCTGTAGTTCTGAGTTTACCCTATGCTTTTGACACAAATAAGTATGTACATTTCTGTGTATTCTACAACTAGAAATACACTAGAGAACTGCTTTTCTCAGTATCTAGCACAATCAACTCCTGTAGCCTACTCATCAATTAAGAAGCACACATTTAATGAGAAACATTTACATTATTTTCATTATTCATAAAAGCAGGAAATTGAAATCTCACTTCCATTAAGAGGACTTCTTTAAGATATGGTAGATATGCTCTGGAACACTATACAGGCAAATTAGGCCCACTTACCTCAATGCCCAAGAATGTTTACAATACATACAACAAAAATGTATCTTTGCATTTTGAAAAATTAATGTAGGTGGGTTACAGAAAAAGCTCTGAATATATACCTAATAGTGGTTACAAAGGGTTTGCTTTTATTGATAGGATTTTTACTTTTTGTCTAGTGAGGTTTACAAAGTTATTACTCTAATTTACTTAAAAAACACCAGTCTGAAGAACAGTAAGATTTCTACTTCATACCTCCTAGTAATACTGGCATTTTCTGTGACTTTTAGTGCAATCCAAATGTTATGCAAGATAATGTTTAAAGTAGAACTTACTTTGGGCGGGGGCTGGTTAATCTACTCTTTCAAGGTACTTTTTAACTGAAAAAATTTTACACTTCTATTTTTAATGAAAAAGTATGAGACAAGGGCACATTTAAGTAACCCGCAATAAGATACTAAGAGAAAGGCATTGTATCACCCTGGTTTAGAGACAGTCATTGTTGCTGTTTCAAAAGGCCAAAATAGTGCTGAAAAGAAAATTTTCCTAATCACCATACTATTACATTGATAAACTGTCTAAAATGGAAGACTTTCCCTAACTGCAAAAGTTGTTCTTTTGGGTAAAATCTATACACTGTGAAGATGTGGCTCTACTCAAGCCAATCCAATACCCTGTCCACTTTCAATTAGCAAAGTCATAGATTTACAAATCTAATTAAAAATTCAAATTCTCTCAAAACATAAGCACACTTAAAAAGAAAATAAGTACAAATCTACAAATCAAACACTGTCACATCTGCTGGAGGGAAAGAACTATAAATGCCAAAGTCTCAAAGTCTCAAAAGTCTCAATTCTTTAATATTACTTTTAAAAAAACCCTAAAATTTATGTTCCAAATCACCAACTTACAGGAGAAAACAATCAGCATATTAAGTAAGACTTGACAGCATTACAAACCATAACTATTTGCCAGCTTTTTAAGGGAACTTAAATTATCACCGTTGAAGCCCTTTCAAACTTTCAATAATTCTAGAATTTACACTTTAAAAACACTGTAAATACAAAAGATCCTCACATTAGGAAGACAAAAAAATGTTCACTTTTATTTTATCTTTCAAATTAGATTCAAGTACGTTCAAATACTACACACTAGATTCTGCACCACCGCTCCCATAAACTCGATAAATCTGAAATAAAATTCATATTCTCACAGTAAAGGATCAAAACCAACCAGTTACTCCCCTACCCAAAAAGCCACATACGCCAAAAATGTTCACATAAAACTGACAAGAGAACCCTGGAAAGAATAAGTATCACTATGCTTTTCCTTTCTCTAAATACCAGCCTAAATTATAGAAACTTGTTATGGCTAGACACATTAAAGTGTGAATATACCATGAGTAAAGTAGGTTGCTTTCCTAACTAACAAATCCTTTCACATAAATTCATTTTCCCACATTGTAAAAAGACGCTATGTTGGGAGTACAAAATGACTACAACACTTTAGCAAGATAAACTCCAACTTATCCACAAAAATATTTATTTTCCCCAAATGTAAGTAAAATTGAAGCACAGTAATACTTAACAAAAGATTTAAGCAAATCCTCAAGTCCTCCCCAAAATCTAGGTCAAACTACCAAGTAAAGCAGCCCACAGGTAGTTTGAATAGTACTAAAAGAACAACAAACAGAAAATTAAGTAAACAGCATAACTATGCACTCAATATTACTTCAATGTGCAAAAACTTCCCCATCTGTAAGTCCACTTAAATATCGGTACAAAGCATAAGCTATCCTTTAAAGTACTACTGAGAACCCACAACCTAGCCTAACAATCTTGATCCCTCCTTTTAAAGCCAGAGTCCTGACAATTAAAAAATATTAAGGCAAAAATTAGGCCTCCACAATGACACAGTAACAAGAACTAAAAAACAAGTCAACGTTAATATTTTTACTTTAAAACTCAATCTTTTCAAGCAACTTCTAAATATTGTACTTAAGCTTTCAATTTCAAATCAAACATTTCTTTATAACGTGAAATCAACATTAATAAGTACTCTGAATCCACCCACCAGGTTATACATACTCTCACTCAATCATGTAAATAATTGAATTCTTTATTTGTAATATCCATAAACGTTGCTATTCTATATTTCTATCCAGGAAGGAAATTTTCTCCTATTACCAGTTTTGTTTTTATAAACAACAACTTGAATTCTATTGCATGAAAGGGCTACAAATATACATGTTTAACCAAGCAGAATACAGGTATTTTGCTTTACAACTTGCACCTAAGATATCAGTACATATAGCTGGTTCATTAGTTGTCATAGCATTCTGGGGCCATTGCCCAAGCTATGCATAGCAATTTACATTTTTAAATCTCATGAAGAAAGGCCAAAAGTGATAGCTACATTCCTTTGAGGCCCATTTCAGTCACAAGTAAATGTGTAACTTCCAAGTTTGCACAGATCTTCGACGGCAAACTTCTAAATCTGATGCAATTGTCCTAAACAATTTTAAACCAACTATCTTGAGCTATACTGCCCTTCTGCCAGTAGACGGTGCTACAAAGGTTGGACTTTCATGAAGATAACAGTTCAGATACAGGAGTGTTTTAAACCTGCTCTGAAAGTACAAAAACGCATTTAGTATGAGGGCAAAATATAACTCTTATTTGTAATCAGTACAGACAAACCAATAAGGGATAAACTAGGCCATCTGAGAATTTTTAAACAGTTTATAAGAATGAAAACACATGCTTAACACAAACTATTTCTTTTAGAACTACACAGTACATACTTTTAAGTAAATTCTCATAGAAAGAAATGACCAATCATGTCAAGATGATAAATTGCTTAGTACATACAAGAGATGGATGCAGAAATTTAGAATTTTTAAAGCCACATCCACCACTTCAAAATTTTTGCCTGTAATGGTTAAAATTTAACATGTCACTAGTAGGGGACCAAGGGAAAAAAAAAACCCACAGGACTTCTTAAGTTTCTCAAAGTACACATCAAGATTTAACACGAAATATCTTCAACTAATAACCCTGAATGGATCCTAGGAAAAAAATGTTAGACATATACGGTCAAACACAATGATTTATTAAAAATAAAACGTAAAAATGATTTTTGTACATATGCTTCCAAATTTCAGGCATGGAATCCAAGTAGGTTTCGTAGAAAATGCTGTAGCCAGTTATCAAGTACTTACAACAAAGTAAACTACCCCCCCACCCCCGCCCAGGTTTTGCTACAATCAGCAAGTTCACTCCCTCCCCGCCAAAAAAAACACAAATTAAAACAAGACATTTTGCTAGTATAAAAACGACCAAGGTCCAAGTAATAATAAAAAAATAGAGTCCATCAATGACTGTAACACAAAAATGTGTATGTGGGGCCGAGTCCATCTTCAGAGGGAGACAAGAGAGGTGGCAGGCAAACAGGGGAATACCCCCGGGGTCCGCAGCCTTACCAGCGGCTCCCCCAAGGGCGAGAGGAGGAAGGCGGCGGGAGGCAGAAGGGACTTAGGAGTTGACCCCACTCAGGGTTGTTGAAAAGAGCTACCCCTACAACAGCCGCTCCCAGCCATCTCCGCATCTCTTAGAAGGAGCTGCCTCCGTAGCCGCCCCCACCGCCGTAGCCGCCCCTGTAAGGTCCACTGTTACTGCGGCCGCCCCAGCTGCCGCCGCCGCCGCCGCCGCCGCTCTTCATTGGCCCGTACGAGGACTGATGCTGGCTGTAGCTGCCGAAGCCGCCGAAACCGTTACCGTAGTCGCTGCCGCCGTAGGACGAGCCGCCGCCGCCCCCGTAGGCGTTGTAGCCGCCGCCGCCGTAGCCGCCGTAGCTGTTGTAACCGCC